CTCTGGGACCTGCTGGGGTGTGAAGCTCGATGCTTCCGTGTGCACGCTCACGTGCTCAGGCCCCTCATGTGGGACAGCCTGTCCATCGTTGCCTGCTGCTTGACTCATTCTCTATGGAAATAACTTAAATGAGAACTAATTACAATATGTCATACATGCGATTAAAATAACGTTGTACCTTTCCCTGGGAGTGATTTGAAGGGAGATGCGGCTGTGGACTTTTTGAATATACTCTTTGACCAAGATGACAAAATATGTTTTTTTTTTGTTTTTTTTTCACAAAATCGAACTTCTCTGATACCAAATTGTAACACCCGCCTTCCGTGGACCCGGTTCACCGCGACTCCACGGACCGGTAGGAGGGAGGAGTAATTAATTATTTAAAATAATCAATTCTAATAGACCGAGTTGTAGGGCGTTACATAAACTATCATTAGTTTAAGGCAAATGATTTCGGACACTTAACTGTAGTAAGTTAAGGCAACAACAATATAGCGAATGGTCAACATTGGATTGGCATTCCCAAACGAGTAATCCTCTAGTTTGGACTATGAATCCCGTTTATGCATTTTTATCTAATCCATCAATCAAGCTAATATGTATATCTTAAAGTCTTCTAGATATCCTTACCAGTACACATCATTTTCTTGTTGATCAATTTATTCATTTTAAATTATATTTCGATGATTCATAATCATAATTTAATTCAAGATAGTCAAACAAACATATCTATTCATAATTTCATCTTTACGGTTCTTTCGTTCAATTCCATATACTTTTATTTGTCATAATAAAATCATAATCGTTATGTAGTCATAATCACTCGAGTCGTCCATTTGATCGTCATAATCAATGTTATTATCAATGATATTCCATTATCAATTATAGTAATCATTTATTCAGAATATTATCAATTTGATCATAATAGTCATAGTAACATTTATTAACAAATAGCGGCCTAGTGTCGAGTGTTAACACCCTAGCTTACCGTCATGCATCAAACAGGGCTTTTAAATCTCTCAAAACAATATTTTTATTTACAGAAATCATATTCATATTGTTCATAATTGATTGGTTTCATGAGAGAAACACAATGAAACGTTAGGGAGGGTACCGTGTGGACGGTATAGCCTACCGTGCCGGCGGTAAGGTGGTACCGTACTGTGCGTAACTTTTAAAAGTGTCATCTTCAACCTCGGGCCAAGTTTCGGAAATTCCATTTTTAGTCCTCAAACTTTAATTAAACTATATAGAAATGTTCTCCAAGGTTCATAGATCATTTTGGCATCATTAATTCATATTTTTAATATCAATTTAATGGTTTATGATTCTTGGTTCTTCAAGCATGTCAAACACAAAACTCAACCAAACGACCGTTTATGAACGTAGAAACGATCTATATGAACATTCTAATCACTAGATATATCTACGGGCTTACCTCGAAGGTTTTGGAAATTTTCCGGCGAAACTTCCAGCGATGATTACTCCCAACTCCGGCGGCAACCAACTACTGCAGAATGTTCTCCTCACTCTCAAAGTTCTAATGGCATTATTTTCATAAAGAATGGTGAAGAAATGGGTTGAGGAGGAGTGTCCTTATATAGGCAGATAGATAGGAAGAAGTCATTGGAGTTTCCTGTAGCTTATGCGTCATTTGAACGGCTGAGTGGTAGGGACGGTGAATTCCTACGGATTTTAAACGTAAGTCCCTGATTGGAACTAATTTCGGTCCCAGTCGGGGTACACTTTTTGGTTCAACTTTCTCCGAATTGAAATCCGTTTGCACCATTGTGATCAGACAGTGAAACTCTATCCGACGATATAACTTTTATATTTATCTATACTACTTTTTCCAACATCATATTTTTGGGTGGTTGACTTTGACAGAGTCAAAATTGGTTCAATTGACCTTTATTCAAAAAGGTTCTCTCATTTAATTCATATCATTTATTCCCATGATTTATTTCAATAAATCATTACAAAGTTCACATCATAATTAATTTCTTTATTTATTCTTGATTTGAGTCTGTGCTCAGGTTCCCAATCAAGACCACACAAATAGTCAACATATTGGATATTAAAACATATTTCATATCGGCCCAAAGCCCAACAAAAATTTATTTTTAATCAAAACAAATTTGATTAATTGATTATTTTTCATTAATAATTCTAGGGTATATTTCAGGGCGTTACAGTTAAACACCGCCCCCCGCCAGCGTTAATGGGGTGTGAAGAGGCTTGCGTCAAACGAATGACGCTGCGTCATTCCTCTCCCCTCCCCCCTTAACGGCTATTATAGATGTTGGACCCCAAAAACAAATTCTTATAAATTCAAACCCCCCTCCCAATCTCTCACACCTTCTCCATCTTCAATCTCTTCTTCTTCCCAATTTTTAAAATTCGAAATCACCCCCTCTCTTTTCAACATGAATCCATCCGGCTCCGACTTCTTTCCCGACGATCTCCCGCCGAGCGATGTCGCGATGTGGTTGTACCAACAGTGGGGCGATCGACCGCCGATCTACGAGACACAACAATCGGGGTACGTCGACCGAGATTCGATTCCGGAGACTCAACTGGAACCGTCCGGGTCGAAATACAGTACACGCCGGAAAAGACACAAAGCCAAAAGCACGATGACCAAGGAAGCACAGTCAATCCAAAAGTGGACGCCGGAGGAGGAGTGCATATTGGCGTCGGCTTGGGTTGACGTCTCTGAGCATCCTATCATTGGTAAAAAAATTATTTTTTCTAATATATTTATGTTTTTATTTATATATATTATATTTAATGGTGTCTAAAAAAATTGTGTAATACATTTTTAAAGGTTCGGAGCAAACGAAGGATGCAATGTGGGATCGTATCGAGGAGAAGTTCTTCACTACGATGAACAAAGACGGCTCCTACCAAACCCAGGACCAACTCACTTCCAAATGGAGCCACATCAACCGTAAAGTCCGAAAGTTTATCGGAGTTTACGAGGAATGCTCCCGGTCCCGGAGGAGCGGGACGAACGACGCCGATGTTCTCCGGCTTGCCACGGCCCGGTATCAAGACGACGAGCACCAAAGCAAGGTTCCCATCGATCTTTGGAGGATTTTCAGTCGTTCCCCGAAGTGGCAACAACTCAACAATCCCGACGGCAAAAGAGATCAAGGAGAAATATAATTTTCCTTAGTTTTTTTTATTAATGTATCTTTTTTTATTATTGTCGCTTTTTTTATTTAATGAATGTATTTTTTTTATTATTCGTGTTTCAATATAATTAAACAATAAATTAATTACAGTACATTTTATTAATTTTAGAAGATATATATTTA